TATATATATATATATATATATATATATATATATATAGTAACTTAGTCTGAAATGTTTAATATAACAAATCCAAATCTAGATGAAATATATAGGTGGCAGATGTGCCTCACCGTTTGGCAACAAACTGGTCAGTTTTGTCTCTGTCACCTTTAATTAATGCATAATAAACAATTATTAATGATCTATAAAGTGTTTATAGAGGAATATCTATGAACTATTTATTAGTCATCTATAAGGAGAGCCTTATTGTAAAGTGGTACCAAAATATATCTGTGCTTGGTATGATGGTATTACATTGTTTAGTTGACTTGTAACATTTTGTCACTAAAAATGTATTATTTATTTTATACCTCCACTTTTGAACGAATAAATATGAAGCATTGAGTAAAAGATAAAAGCAACCCTGGCAGTCTGCACTTCCGCAGAAAAATCCTGTTAATAATGATTTTATATATAAAAAAAATAAAAAAAATAAAACTATTTGTTTTTACATTGTCACCCATATTACCACAGAACATTTTTTTTTATACTTTTCACCCCTCAATAGTCTTAAACAATAATCCATGATGTTTACCAGACAGTTGTGCTTCAGAAAACAAAACACAACCACAGTTTAATGTTTTGAAATATAAAATTTCTAAATGCAATCAGAAAACAGCACTGACACGATTAATGGAGCTGATACTTTGTATGTTATATAATTTAGAACAGCTCAAACCCGTTTATCTAAAGGGAGTAAAGTGAAAACATATCGCTCCATTTTAACGAGTTACAACTTTATTTTAAAGGTTGAGGCAGCTCAACAGTGATCTGGAGCACTGGCTTGTGAACACAAAACTGTAGTGCATCACTCAAACTATACAAAATGAATTACAGGAGGAGGAAAGTGGAAAAAAACCTCAGGCTTCAAGGGCCTTAAAATCAGAAAGTCACTTTACAACGTAGACTTAGCATGGCCCTCGTCTTAGCGTCGGCACTTAGGTTGGACAAAGAAAAGTGAATGACAGAAATGGGGAAAATGTGGCGGTTTATCTATATATATAAAAAAAAAAAATTCTGAGCAAAATAAACTGTAACAAATAGAAAAAAAGCATAACTACAAACGGGCTCAATCATACATGTTGCAGTGCTTCCAAAACACAATCTGCTTGTAGAGTGGCGTTGTTCTGAAGAAGTGGGGACAAGCTAAGAAAATTCATCTTTTTCATTTTTAGGAATCCAGACCTCTTCACGTCCATTTTTTCCCACTGTAAACATAAACTCTCTGTATGTGCTTTCGATGTGTGAAAAGATTCAAATGAGCCGCAACATGTTTGTTTCCTCTGCTGCTGCCTCGAGAGCATCGCTTTCCACATGTTCACATCTGGATTTGATGTTTCAGCAGAAAGCAGGACAGGAAAGGCACTTCAAAGCAGGGATGTCCCCTTGATTTCCTGACTGTTCCGTCCTAATCCCTAAAAAATGAAAAGGTCTGGCTGACTCCTGTAAAGTTTTCAGTCCTTCTTCTAAGTGAACAAGGGGCATCTGAAAGACAATAATATATTGTGGGTCATTAATAAAGTTAATTAAAAGTTAACGACCGGATCAAAAGTAAATGCAAATTACAAATCGTAAAGGGTAAAAAGATTTGAGAGACTTACACAAAACATAAAACATCTTTTGGGTTGTGTAGCATTGTGCTAACCCTCAATAGAAACTTCTGGAACCATGTGTCCATTCAGTGTCGTTTCCACTGATATTTCCTAAAATGCAGTCAAGACATTAAATATGAAAAGTTTGATGTAAATTTACAACAGATGGAGGAACTATGAAACTTGAACAAAAAGTCAAATAAATTACGATTGTCTTCAAACTCTCAAGTCAGGAAGTATTTGCATTCTTTTAACATCTTAACTCTCCGTCAATCTGGTTTCAGGAAGCAACACAGCACTGCATCGTTGAAGGTTTTCAATAATGTTGTTGAAGCATTGGATGCTAAGGATTAATGTGCTGCACTTTATTTAGACCTGTCTAACGTTTATGACACCATGGATCATGACATCTTGTGTCATAAGCTCTCAGAAATTTGTTTCTTAGATCACACCATTGGTTGGTTCTCTAACTATCTCAGCTCTGAGGCATTGTGTTCAACATAACTGTACTTCTTCCAGTTATCCAATGGTGTACCACAAGGTTCAGACTTAGGACCCACCCTCTTCACAATCTACATACTGTAGGTAATGTAGGTCAGATCATTCCTGATGCATTCTTACATTTCTATGCCGACGACAGTTGCTTATTGTCGAACTAAAACAATTGCTAATGTTTTCCAGCTTTTGCAATCTGCTTTTGACATTATCCAGTCAGATTTGTTCCGTCCCAAACTTGTGCTAAATGCTGACAAAATCAAAAGGATGTTTTTTTCAAACAGGAAGCCAGTTCCAGTAGTCCTTCCTTCTATTTTATCTTCAAATGGTGTCCCCATTGGGTTTGTCAGTTCCTACAAATATATGGGTATCTTGGCCGATTCACATCTCTCTGTTAAGCTCCATGTTGAAAACTTTGTATAGAAACTGAAAGTAAAACTGGGTTTATTTGTCAGAAAAAGATCCTGTTTAACTCTGAATGCTATGAAACACCTTGTAACTGTGACTTTCCTCCCCTCCACTGACTACAGTGACATTATTTGCATGAACGCCCATAGCACCTTGCAGATTCAATTCAATTCAAAAATACTTCATTAATCCCAAAGGGAAATTAAGTGTTGTCGTAGCTCATCATCCTGGTTTCATTCGAGTTGTTATAAATGCTGATAGCTGTGGGCAGGAAGGATCTGCTGCAGTGAAGCTGAAGAATCTGGCCACAGATACTGATCCATCCAACTGGATCCAGCTTGCTGTCTGATCCAGTGGGCTTCTTGGTCCTCCTGTGGAGCAGGACTGCCCGAATTCCTCCATTAGTGATGGTCACTCCTCCCAGCAGCCTGCCGAGCTCCTCGTCACCACGGACAGACAGCTGAAGGTGCCCATTGTCACGAGCTAAGTTTCCCACCAGCTCCAGGATCTCGGCGGTCAGGTACTTGAGCACAGCCGCCAGGTTGACGGGAATTCATCCACGGTGCCTCCTTTTCAACTCATTTGGGATTTGGGACTGTAGCTGAGGTATGTGAGCTTTTGAGATGTTAATCAGCTGCTCCTGGTTGTTAAAAAGCACCTTGTTGCCATGGTTACGCATCATAACAAATGCCCAAAAGTAAAAAGCCTTCAGTAAAATTCCTTCCAGCTGCACAGCATCTGATAGCAGAGGAAATAATCATGCAAAAAAGTGATAAAGCGATTTACATCCAGAAAAAAGAGGAATTAAAGTTTTCCAAAGCAATAAATCAGGATGAATTTAACAAAGCTGCTCCAACATGCAGCCATCCCGAGCAGTGCAGTTCTAGAACACATTCTAGAACAGATGTTGGACGCCGTCTATCACGGTGCGCTAAGATTCACAACTGGCTGTAACTACTGTACCCATCATTGCACCCTGTATTCACTGGTTAACTGGTCATCATTAACTTCACGCAGAATCTCCCACTGGTACATTTTCATCTTTAAAATTATTTCTTGGTCTGTTGCCTTCATACATCTCCTACATGTCACTGCGTGAGTTCAGCTACAGTGTGCTCTCTCAGGACATTATTACATGCAGTGTTCCCTCAGCGAGGACTGAACTGGGCAAAAGGGCCTTCTCCTACTCTGCTCCTGTTTCCTGGAATATCTTGCAAAAATATCTGAAGACCTTGACCTCTCTGAGTGGCTTCAAACATCTGCTAAGTTCATGGCAAAAACCAATGCAGACATGTTCCTGTTTTTTTATATAGTTTCTTCTATTATTTTTCAATTTATATGTTTTTTTTATGATTGTCTACTGTTGTCATCATTCTTTGTTAAAACAGGTCTCTCTTGTAAATGAGTCCTCGGTGCTCAACGGGACTAACCTGTATAAAGACAGGTTGAATTGATTGTTTTTTTTAATTATATTTATCCGCCCTTATTTCTGTCCTTTTGCCTCTATTACAGAATATAAATCGACTTCCATATGATCAATAAAACCAGAGCCTAAAAATGATTTAAAGAATGATTTTAAAGACTCCTTTTTTAATAAATTGATTTACCACTGAGTCCAGCTGTACTGACTCCACAGGGAGCGGTGAGTGACATGATGGATCACAAACTTCTGACTTTGGTTCCTCTGATGACACATTCACCTGATCTGCTCCGTCACTCTATAGGAAGGAAGAGACAGAGTTAATCTAACACGAAATACTGATTTATATAACCCATCCTGTGTAAACAGAAAATGTGGTTAAATACGGCACATATTTGATTTAAAATAGACACAACTTACAGTAAGCACGTCCTCTGCAGCAACAGCAGCAGAGACTGCAGGAGTCCCAGGTATAGACTCTGTCTGGGTTATAACGTTGCCACTCATGGCCATGGTTCCCTAAACGTCACAGAAGAACTAAACTGAAGAAGAGTTCCTATAGCTTTGACTGGTCTTGAGGAGATTGCAATGAGTACCTTAAAAGCAGCTCAACTTGAATAAAATGTTATGTCTTACAAAAGAAAGCTGTTGCTCTTTGGACAGAGCAACAGATTTAGAGTTCCTGTTCAGGAAGTTCCCACCTGCTGGATGACAGAAGAGGTCGTGATCGCATCATCAATGCCTGACGCAGATTCTGAGACAACATCGTCAGAGACCAGTGATTCTGCAACAACCTGAATGAAAACATGAGGAGGAGGTTCCCATTTTCAGGATACTGGATTTAAAACCGAAGGTGCAACAGAGTGACAAACAAATAAAAGACATCCACTTTATTATTTTGTGTAAATATGAGAAGAAAACATTGTACCTCTCCGGCTTCATTAAAATTGACCTCAGCTTTTCCAACCAGAGGCTCCAGGATGGTATCCTTCACCTAATGATGACAAGACGTTGGTCATGCCACCATTTAAGTAAAGGCACATAAAAACTTAATTTTTCCTTTTAGAATTTTAAAATTTAACTCATTAAAGAGTGCCCTAATTAAGAACTTTATGGTGTTTTTCTTGATGGAGTCAGAGACATTTCTCACCTCTGGTATCTCCAAAGCCTGGACAGCAGCATCCTGATATAAACAAATAAAATAAAAAGAACACAGAATTTATTTGTATGAATAAATACGTATTTTTAATGAAATTAGTCTTGGACTCAAAGGTGCTGCTTGTCACAGTTAAACAGAAAAACACACACAGACTGGTCATCACAGCATGGAAAGTACACGATGTACATGACTCGTATTGAATATTCTTTAGTATTGCACATTGCTCTTAGCAAAAATAAACCAGAAAATGTAATTTAAAGTGGTTTAGTTTGCAGTGAGGGACTTTAAACCATCTGCTTGAGGGCATAAATGCATACTTTGCAGAGAGTACATTATGTGACAGATTGACCACTATTCTTTGAGCTTGCCTAAGAAACACCTTGTTCACGTATTGACTGAACAGGCTGGAATTCAGTGTTTCCCATCACCTTCATGACCATGATAACCAGTCTGGTTTTTAGTACAGTCAGGTTCATATCACGCTGACATCTCATTTCTGATTGAACTCGATTAAACTGATATTAAAAAAATGTAAGAATATCCAATAAATCACACAGGAACCATCATAAACTGAAAACACTATAAGCAATGAAGCATATTTTACCCCTGCAGATGTTCCAGGCTCAGCACAAACTGCAGCTTCGTCTTCTTTAGCCGACACGTCTGCTTCCACTTTCCCCTCTCCCTCCTGAGCTGAACTCACTGACTCAGTCCTCGGCTCGGGTTTTGGTGTCTCTGTGACCACCTCGGTTTCAGTTTCTGCAGAAACTTGTTTACTGAAGTCTTCTGCTGCTGGTTCTTTAGTGGCTTCATTTTCAGTCTCTGCTACGGAGAAATCTGTGACATCCTCCTCCACTTCCACCCTAACCTCAGTCTCGGCTTCCTTCTCCATCTCTGGCTCACAGACCTCAGGTGTCTGCACAAGCGAAATCAGCACAGGACATATTAAAACCAAGTCCAACATGAGTCCAGAGGACAAAACAAACATGGCGACATGAATTGCAAAAGTTTATTCTTCACAGATGTGTTTAAGTTACATGTAATTAACCAGCAGGACACTATCTCTACCTGTTCAGCCTCCGTTTCTGTTGCAATGGCTTCCACCGTCTGAGTCTGTGGATGGACAGAGAGCATACTTATTACTAAATTATTTTAATAGAATCAATAAATGCATAGAAAAATCAAGAACTGGGTGATGTTTAATAATAAATATATAACTATATGAAATCAAATGCCTGCATTTATTCATGAAATTTTGGTCTGTGTTTGTGGGTGTGTATTACTTTATCTGTACTGTTAGCAAAATATATCATGATGCATTGAACAGATTTTAATGAAACTCTCGGAAAGTAATTGCTGGATGTGCATCTGTAGAAAAATGTTTGTTGCATGTGCACAAAATAAAAATGCAAGCTTGTTTTACTTCAGTCACTGCAGGAAGCCCTCCTGGAGCCTCATGTGGACATTCAACCTGTGAAGAATAGAGGGTGATGAGTTTATTCTCAATCCAGCTAATTAACTAGCAAATGTGTACATCCCATTTAAAAATTAAAAATAAAACAAACTCTGTGACACATTTAGAAAATAGCTATCCCGTGCTCTGCAAATCTCATGTTTTCTGAGATTTTAAATGTCAAGTTTCAGGAGCTGCACACACAGGACTCTTAATAATGTGCCCAGAGCTAAACAAGCTTCTTATAGCCGACAGTTTGTCAGACAAACTTTAGCTGTGACGGTCTGAAGGCATTTCACAGAAATAATAATAGTTTAAAAAAAAAAACTTAGCAAGAGCCTTAACAGCTTTTCTGTGTTCATAAACAGAAGTGTGTGCAAAAATTAGATCATAAATTTGGACTTGTATTTTTGCAGCTTTGAAAAACTTGAGACTTTGTTGAGTGTGTGAAGTTGGAGGAGGGCAGGAACATTCTGCATCGCAGAAATCTTGCAACCAGTTGCATAAAGGCAAAGAACGACTCCCCCTTTTCAGCCTTTTTCAAGTCAAACCTTCATTTGTTCCATCAAGCCTTTTAAAGCCTGACTGGTCACTGGGGAGGCCCCCACGGTGCAGCCAAGTGTACTGAGCCGTAATGGCAACCGTTAGAAGAAGCAGCTAAATATTGCAAATCTTCATTAATTATTTATCCTAGCTTGTGCTATTTTCTCCTCAATGTAGGACAAGTCTAATCTGTGCAGATTCTACTGTTCGACATAGCTGAAATCATCTGAATCCACCTCCAGCCTGTAAAGAGCAAAGATGGGGGTATTTTAAGGATTTTCTGAACCTGAGCAAAGTATTTATCCCACAAATTTGCACGACATTAAAAAAAAAAGGTTTATGTAGAAAGGGATGCATGAAGGAAATCAATGAGGTCTGCACAGGCGTTGCCCCAAAATAAAGTTTTCCGTTTATGTCTAAAAGCCTGCCTAATAAATAGCTACGTCCACTTTTCCTGACTCGGTTTTCTTCTGTCACCCCCAGCAAGGAACCTCTGGCAAAAGCCACAGCATAAGGCCACATAAAACTGGACCCGGTCCATCTCCCACAGAAACTGTATAAAGGTTTTGAGTCTAAATCTAAACTTCTAAATGTTGCACAAGGTAATTACAGAAGCTTCAAAAAGCCATGCACCACTCTCATACTTCTACACATTGAAATATGTGAGCACACATGTATGGCAAGCCATTTGAGTGTTTATTTGTGCCTTGTGATGACCATTACTGCAAGAAAAGCGAATTATGCAACCAAACTGCACATACCTACAATTTTTTTGCAGTTTGGCTTTAACAGAAAATTTTCTTTTCTCCTCAAAACAAGAGAACAATGGCACAAATTAATTACTAGCTTTTGATGTGATATTATTACTGTTATTATTATTAACCGTTATTGTCAAATCCCATTGAGATCACAGATCTATTTTGCAAAGGAGGCCTGACCTTGGCAGCCTAACATATATATAATTATAAAATGACTTCTTGACACTAGAATTTATAATAAAGTTATGGCACGTCAAAGAAGACTACAAAACAAAATGTATCAGTGTAACTTAAGATACGCAAAATTGATAGTGACAATTTATATTACACACTCATTCAGTGGCAGCATCCAAACAAAAAAATTATGATGTACTAAAACAATCTTGAAAACCTTTTTTTGTAGTACAGTAACAAAATAAATATATTTCCCCCAACAAGGTAAATAACCTATTCAGAAAGTATCAAGAAAAGAAACACATAAAAAAAGGTATTGTTTTTAAATTTGGTGATAATGCATGTGTCTATCACTCTCTGTAACTCAGCAGTGAGCAGAAAAATTCTTTATCATAAATATTAAAATATGTTAACTTTTTTATTTTGCTTTGTGGAATATTATGTTCCCCATGGTCAGGGTGAAGCAGTTTTAGTGTTTGTTACAGGTGCGTTGGTGCTACATGGAAATACACACAACTAAACAGAAGGAATTGCACCAGAAAACAAGTTATACACTAAAAGAAGCATCTATTGGAGATACTTTTTTAAACTTTTCTGGTGGATTTTAAGGTGGATGACTGTAACAACAATCAAATAATTAAATGCATTTGAATTCATCGGTGCAAAGATGCAATAAACTGATGCATTTAATCCCAAAAATGCTTTGACACACTGCTGCTCTATACTGATCTAATCTTATCACATATATGCACATTTATGAAACAACAAAAATCAGTTCACCTTTGAAACTCCAATGAAAATGATTGGGGCAACCGAAAAATTAACGTTTTATCAAAAGAAGCAAAAAGAATTTAGAAAAAGAAGTCATTTAGGAAAGTTTGTCGACTAATATTTTGCACCCATGCCACTTACCTCAGTTACTGGCACAGTTTGGGGCACAATAAATTGGGCTTCCTGTCTTAAATCGGCTTGACCTGTAGAGGGCCCCACTGGTGGAGTCCATTCAACTGGGGGCTCTTCAGAGAGGCGGACTCGGGCTTCAATCTCAAAGTCTGCAGGGGCTCCAACCTCAACTTCAGCATGGGAGTCAGCCTTCACCTCTGCAGGAGCCTGCTCCAAAAGCTCTACATTTGGTTTTGCCACTTCTACATGAACTGGTTCTTTCACAATCAACTCTGGTTCCTTGGGGATCTGCTCAACTGGGGCAGGAACAGGACCAGTATGTGGGGTCTTTCTCGGTGCAGCAGTTTTCGCTGCTTTCTTGGGAGCTGTTGGGGGTGTACTTGCTGCAATCCCAGGTCCTGATTTGATTGGTGGATTAGCTGCATGCTGATCCTCAAGAGCTCTCCTCAGGGCCTGCTGCAAGGCAAGGAGGTAAAAATGCAAACAACACCCGAGTCAATAAATGCTGCTTCATCATTAGATTAAATGGCACTATTTGACTTATGACTTATGATTTATTATTTTCATGAATTATTGGTAGAGGTAACCACTTCTGGAGGCAAATTTGATGTTTAAAAAAACATGAAAAGTTTGAAAGGCAGTATCTAATATCTATTTATAATATCTACCTGTATATATTTTTGTTGTTATCTACCTGGATGAAACCTTTTTTCTCTATCTAATATCATTTTCAGTTTTAAAGGGATAGTTCAAATTCTGTTATGTTTTGAGCAGTTACTATCTTACCTGTTGTAGATAGCTTTTTGGACAACTTCAAATGAAACTATGACCTGTAATTTTGATCAGACTGGTGAGCTAAGAGCTAATCAGATGTGGATCGTTGCCATCTTAAAACAAATAAAAATTTCAAAGCCGTGTTCCAATACATGGGAATACTATTTAATAAGCCTTTACAAAACCTTTAACTTTGCATTACATGGTTAGTCAAGACAAATTTTTGTGATAATGTTGCATGAAGTGTCCCAGATTGCACCAGAAGTGCTACATACTGTAAGTGTCTGTTATTTCAAGGTCAAGGTTTTCTTTATTGTCATTTGCATCTCATGTGGTACATGTAGTGGAACAAAATTGTGTACACAGGGTCCCAGTTACATCCAACAAAAGTATAAATTGTAAAAGAAAAACATTAATAAGATCTAAGATATGAACTAAGAAATATGCTGAACATTTAATAGTGCAACACAAAATGCAAAATACTTACACTTGCACATGCACTTGCAAATATCCATGCATGCAAAACAGACTAGTGCAAATATTTGGAATAAATAATAATAAAATAAACCTTTTTTTTGAACCACTATGAGACTTTTAAGAGTGGAACTGGTTTTGTGCAGCAATAACACACTTCAAACCAACCACTAGCTTTTCAGTCCAGTTTGAAATTAGCGCTATTTCTCCAAACTGAGGTTCTACAGCAGGTAAGATATTTATTGTTTTAAACCTTTCCACAAAGCCCCTCTTGAAAAGGTCTGAACTATTTATATAAGTGTATGTTAAAGATGATAAAACCTTAGCCTGATGTGAGTTTAGGAGGTTTAAGCACAACCGAGGCTCTTTTTAAAGCTCAGGTACTGACGTTGTTGACACTGTAGTTCATAGCACACCCATGTCTGCAGGAATACCAGGGATGCCATCCCAGCCAGGTTCAACATATTTTTCAGCTCTGAACAAAACCACCTCAAGCTTTAAAATGGAGGTTTTAGGAAGGCAGACCACTGAAGGGAGGGGGAACAACTGGGAGTGGGCCCAACAAAGCTAGTCAGATAATGGATGCTAATTAGTTGAATCAGAGCAGTCCTGACAGGTCTGGTGAAGCGGGCACAGAAACTGTGCTAGTCAGCAGCACTGATGGGTGCCCCGCGGGCCAGACAGTGGGTCTAATCACTTCATGATCAGGTTATAATCACTCCCCAAAAATGCTTTTGTTAGGCTGGCAGCCAGTTAAAGACATGGCTAAAACCAGCACTGTAAGCCAAAAGCGCATGTGGGTGTGTAGGTGTGTCTATGCCTGTCCAGCCAGCTACAGTCAAAACAACGCCATCAACCCCCCCACCAACATTAACAATAACTTCAGTCTGATTAGCAGAGTAATAGATCAGTCATACGTGATGTAAAACGAAGAAAATAGCACTAAGTTTGAAGTTGTGCCTGGCTCACCTCATCTCGCAGTGCTCATATCTGTGGGGAGAACTGGTGATAACGCAAAGCTGCAAATGACTTAAGGAGCTATTTACGTCTGCCGGTGCCAGACTCGGAGAATGAGAGCGCTTGTGCAGAATCAAATTTGGCAAAACAAATCCAAGACATTCCTACAGTCAACACATTACCAAATACAGCCGTGAAGTGGTGAGAGCTGCCGGCCAGCAGAGGCTCAGGAATTGGGGGATGTTGGAGGTACACATAAACTCTGTGCTCAGACTGATGCAGGAGCAGGCTTCTGGAAATTAACTGTAAAATTACTCAGCGGGTTAAAATAAAGCGCTACTGAAAAACAGATATTAGAGAGCAGTTTGGGGATGTAGCGTAACCTTTGACCTCACAGATGTTTTTCAAAGGCCCATCACCTCTCCTGCCCATTGAGTGTGCAAGAGGGGGATTCTTTATGCTGACTGAGAGGAACTGAAAGAAAACAGAACCTTCATGAGTTACCGATTCAAAATAAATGTTAAACAAATAACCAGCAGCTTGACTGCGTTGGTTATTTGTTTGGTTGCCGGCATCAAATATATCATTGTCCAGACTTTAATTTTGTGTCTCTAAATGATTAGACACAACGTGTTCTTATTTTCATCTGCTTTCTGTTGCTTAATGTTTACATCACACGTATGTGCTCAAAAGTATTTGCAATATCTTCAACAATGATTGTTTTTAGCATTTTTTTAAATTATTTTCATTGAGTAATTTTGCATTTTGTGAGAGAAATTTTGTAATTGATGCACAGTTTAAAAGAAAAAACACTTCAAAGGATTATATTGAGAATGAAGCTGTGAGGGAGAGGAAGAAAACAGTTGCTGCCAAAACTCACCACCCTCCTCATGCGACGCTTGTTCTTCTTCCTCTTGCTGGGCATCTTGTTTTGTGCTGCTGGGAACTCCAAAGAGCAAAGAAAGCCAGGCAGAAAGGCAGGGGAGCTTTATAAAGCCCCCCCCCCAGTCTCTCTGATACCTTTGCACCGAGCCTATGGGAGGACTGGGATGTGAAATGGGGGCGTAGAGAAGGAGAGCGACAGGGCGCGTGCACGAGAGCTGCGTCACATGTTGGTTTGTGCGTCTCTCAGACTCCAGTTGTGGGTTGTTATGTAAGAACTCCATCAAAGCTCAGAGAGAACAGAGAGGTCTGAGGGCCGCCTTGGAATATTTTCATTTTTCTGCTCATAGAAAATACTTTGAATCTGTATCAGATCTTAAAAAAAAGAAAAATTAACATCAATTGACTTTTTCCTGGAGGAAAAAAATAAGAACAAACATGGAAAACAATGTGGGTCTCTCCATCAGCTGTTTTGAATGAATTAAAATCATGAAAAAGACAAAGAAAGAAAAATTGCTTTTAAATTTACAGTAACTTACCGGCAGCTGCCAGAAAAATACTGTAAAACTATTTATAGAATCAGGACTGTTTTTGTATTTTCAGCTTTCAACTGTATTTTAATTATAAAGTATTGTTGTTGCTTTATAACAGTTAACCCTTCATCCATCCGTTTACTGATTATTGAACATGCATCAGGATATATTGTTATTTTTTCATTTGCAGTGGCATTTAGCAATTTGCAGTATACTGTTTTTGCATTTAATTGAATTATCCATCCATCCATCCATTTTCTTTACCCGTTTATTCCATTTTGGGTCACGGGGGTCGCTGGTGCCCATGTCCAGCAGTCACTGTGCGAGGGGCGGGGTACACCCTGGACGGGTCGCAAGTCCATCACAGGGACACATAGAGACAAATGAGACAAACAACCATTCACTCTCTCACTCACACCTAGGGACAATTTAGAGTTACCAATCAGCCTAACATGCATGTTTTTGGTCTGTGGGAGGAAACCGAATGACCCGGAGAAAACCCATGCATGCACGGAGAGAACATGCAAACTCCACCCAGAAAGGCCCCTGGACGGGGGTTTGAACCAAGGACCTGCTCGCTGAGAGGCAGCAGCTCTACCAGTTGCGCCACCGTGCTGCCCATTTAATTGAATTACTGTGTTCTAATTATTGTGACTGGATTTTACTTTAAACTGATAAGATTGTGTTTTCATTCACAGCTGTAATGTTTCTGTTAATATAATTCATGTTGCTTACCACAACTTGTCGTTTAAGGCAGTTACATACATACATATATATATATGTATATATATATATATATATATATATATATAT